TTTTTTTTTTTCAATTGAGATATGAAGAAAAATATAAACCTTAAGCAAACTTAGAATAATGCTCCTGCTGGCAGATACTGGGCATAGGATGACATCAATATCTGTTCTGAAATAACGGGAAATTAGATTGCTGGCTTTAGAAGACATCTGTTGTTTTGTGTGATGCCTTGTTATAGTCCACAGCTGTCTTGTAACTGGAATAAGGATAATCAAAGGTCTGTGAGCTGAATAAAGTAGAATTGCCATTTTGGATTTCTGAAGTACTATGATACAATACTGTGCTATTTGGACTTACTTTTCTGTCCTTATATTTCTAAAAGCACAGCAGTGGCTGGGATAAGTTAAAACAGCTTCCAGAAGGTTACTGAATTTATCCAGTGGTGGCAGTCTCTTTAAAGAGTAAGATGATGTTGCGTTCAAGACTTGAATAGCCTCCAGTCCATAACTAGGCAGGGATTCCAGAGCTGTTGAAGAAATATCCCTGCAAAGTAAAAAGAACACTTTCTTTTGATACCTATAAAAACACCAACAAAGCATGAAGTTGGATAACAGTGACTCAGTTCTTCAAAGGGCTAGGAAAAGGGCTAAATCCACAAAGCAGCTTCAACACTTCATCTCCAGCACAGACATATATCCTTTCTTTACCTGTCTGTATTCAGCTGATGCCCAGCACTGAAGACATTAAAGTTCATGGCATGCCTGACTTGGTCTCTGCTCGATATAGGTGAATTCCTGGCTCTTATGTCTAAGGTGAGTTTATGTCTAAGTTGGCCTCTTTCTGCTTATCTATCCCAAGAGCTTATTCCAAGGGATGTTCTTGGAGCTTGATGTTTAGATAATGTGAAAGTTTCATTCAAGAATTTAAGGGCTTCTCTATTACATCTGAACCCAGCTAGGCAAGAAGCTGATGTTGTCCTGGGGAAATTGAAACATCCCGTTCTGAGGGTTGTGTCCTAACCACTCTTGAAAGTCAAAGTCACTGTGCGTGGATCGAGGGAAGGTTACTTAGGCCAGGGAAAGACAAATAAGGAAGATGAATGTGACTCTCTAGCCATCTTCACAGGAAGAACGCCCACCTGGCTCTTTGCTTTGAAGGGCTGCTTTAAGTGCTTTAATTAAACAGTTATTAGTTAAAGCATACTAATTAAAACACACAACACTTGATGGCATTGCACTATTATGTCTCACTGTCTGTAGAAGATAGGAGATCCAGTATCCATTCAAAAAAGCAAAACCAAAAAGCAAACAAACAAAAACAAAAAAACATCCTCCCTTTTCATTGCAATAATGTAGTCTACTTAGCACAGGGAAGACACCTATAAAATCAGATAATGAAGTGGTTTGATACTTACAGAACATCTGGCCCTGTCGCCCCCCTCAAGGCATCGTTGTGTATTCTCCTGAGGTTTTTATTATCCTTCAGAATTCTGTGAAATCAAACACTGTTAACTCTTCTACGCTTTCCTGGATTTGAACTACATTTTCAAGTTTTGCACATCTGCTGCAAAGTTTAGGAATTGATTATACTTTAGTAATTAATAAGAAATTTTCTCATAACTGCATTACTCCAAAAGATGATGTTTCAAGAAAAAAAAAAA